TGGTGAGCGAGTGAAGTAGCTTAGTCGTGTCCGACTCTTTGCGACCCTGTGGACTGCAGCCTACCAGGCTCCTCCGTCCAAGGGGTTCTCCAGGCAAGAGTACTGGAGTGGGTTGCCATTTCCTTCTCCAGGGGATCTTCCCAACCCAGGGATGGAACAGCACTTCAGGCAGACGCATTAACTGCTGAGCCACCAAGGGAGCCCACAGGAGTGTACAGAACAAGCTTATTTCAATTAATAAGCAAAAACTCCAAGGTTCTGATAAAAATAAAACAATCTAGAAATTAGATACTCTGTAACTATCTAAACCCTTGACAAAAAAAAATTCTGATGCTATCAACTTAGAGCACAAAAAGTATAATATCTTACAAAATTATTTAGAGAATATACAGGCAAAAATATCCAGAAGGCCACTGGACGAAGGTGGCGTTAGTTTGTGTCCTATTTTCTCAGTTAATTAAACTATATTTATTTAGCTGTAACTTACTTTCTTCTGTTAAAGATTTGAACTGCCTGTAAATAGAAATAAAAATTCACTTTCCTTTTTCTATTTAATACTGCATTTCTGAAAGCAGTTGGAAAGTGTTGCTACTGGAATTATGAAAACATTTATTGCCATGCCAAGTTGTTTTCTATGAACATCTGCTACTGATTTTGATGGGAAGGTGGAAGAGACATTAAAATCCTATTTAAAACCTATATATCCTCTCCTCTAACTCTGCCTAAGCTATGTATTACATGCCATGCACTTGTCATGTTGGGAATACAGATGTAAATGGAAACATTTCTGCTATTTAGGGACTCAGTTGAGCAGCACACTCTGACCTGCAAAGACTTACACCAGTTAACTAGAGTATGAATGTAACGTGCGTTGGGAACATGGAGATGAGTCTCAGGAACAGAAACCATGTTTAGTTTTACTTGGGAAACAAAGATTGTATCAGCTGAACACAATCATTCTCTTTATAACTACAAACAGTATATAATTATTATAAGTTGAGCTAGAACCAATTATTTCTAGAGACATCCCTGATTTAAGAAACAAAAAACTAAGAAGACTTAGCAATGTACAGTGAAGCACACATCACTCAATAAATTACTGGGTACAGAAGTAAAAAACACCAGGCTAGGTACAGTAGGAGAAACAAGAAGTAAAACATTGTTTTCGTCATTAAGTGTGTATACAGTAAGATGTTAAAAGCAGAATGTGAGGTTACAAGGCAACATATGCTAATGTATCAAATAACTAATTTGAACACGTAAAATTTGAGGAAAAATTACATCCAACTCTTTAGAAGGCACTTTCAGCCCATGAACTAAGTACAGCTTTTACTCTAGGAAGTCAGCAGACACTTGGAAATCATTATAATTAAAGAACAGGAGACAGAGCAACAGCACCAGGGCTGGCAGTGTCTCACTGCTCAGCAACTCTGTCGCTCAGCCCTCAGTCGTGTCCGACTCTCTGGGCCCGTGGATGGCAGCACGCCAGGCCTCCCTGCCCTGCACCATCTCCCAGAGTTCGCTCAAACTCATGTCCACTGAGTCAATGCCATCCAACCATCTCATCCTCTCTTATCCCCTTCACCTCCTGCCCTCAATCTTTCCCAGCATCAGGGTCTTTTCCAGTGAGTCGGCTCTTCACATTAGGTGGTCAAAGTACTGGAGCTTCAGCTTCAGCATCAGTCCTTCCAATGACTATTCAGGGCTGGTTTCCTTTAGGATTGGCTGGTTTGATCTCCTTGCTGTTCAAGGGACTCTCAAGGGTCTTCTCCAGCACTGCAGTTCAAAAGCATCAATTCTTCAGCACTCAGTTTTCTTTATGGTTCAACTCTGACATCCGCATATGAATACTGGAAAAACCATAGCTTTGACCATAAGGACCTCTGTCAGCGAACTGACTTCTCTACTTTTAATTCAGCAACTCTAGCCAGAAGAAAAAGAATAACTGACTAGGAAATTAGACAAAATGATAACTAAGCTTATTTCCTCAGGACTGTGACTATTCCTTAAGAAGACCTAAAATCTGAAATACAGTGCAGTTAAACTGAAATGTGTGAAAACCGAAACTCATACAGCACAGACGTGTTGTTGAAAAAAATGGTTTTCAAACTTCAAAGCAATGATCTTCAAATTCTGGTGAACATCTAAACTGTGGTGCTGGAGAAGACTCTTGAAAGTCCCCTGGACTGCAAAGAAATCAAACCAGTCAATCCTAAAGGAAATCAGGCCTGAATATTCATTGGAAGGACTGATGCTGAAGCTCCAATACTCTGGCCACCTGATGGGAAGAGCCAACTCGTTGGAAAAGACCCTGATGCTGGGAAAGACCGAAGGCAAAAGGAAAAGAGGGCGGCAGAGGATTAGACGGTTAGATAGCATCACCGACTCAACGGACGTGAATTTCAGCAAACTCCAGGAGATGGTGAAGGACAAGGAAGCCTGGCATGCTGCAGTCCACGGGGTTGCAAAAAGTTGGATATAATATAGCGACTGAGCAATCACTACTTAAATATGCAGTCAAGGTATTTATATTTTAGGCAGCTCCCCAGGTGATTATGACGCACAGTATGAGAATTACGTGATTAAGTACAGTCTTCAGTGGCAGCAAAACCTGGGTTCAAATGCCAGATTTCATAAAAGCACTATAACCACCAACTAGCCTCCCTAACTCTATCTCCAGCCTTTAAAAAAGGGAAATTGCCACCCATGCCTCAAGTAACTGTTGTGAGGATTAAAGACAATGATGTGCACAAAATTCCTGGAACTTTTCATAAGCAGTTAATGAATTCATACATTTAACAAACATTTATTAAGCACTTATCAAGCAAGCACTTATTAAGCACAGTATCAAGACATGAGGGAAATCTCATTAATTTAATAAGTATTCATCAGTATGGCAATTCTGCAATGGTGTCATGAGAACATATAATCAGGGGAATGTACCCTAATTAGGAAAGTCTTCCCTGATGTAAGCTGAATGAAGAGCAGGCATTAACTGGATGAAAAGGAAAGGAAGAGCATTTCCAGGCAAAGGAAGCATCATAATCAAATGCCATACACCTGAAGCAGAATAGAAAGAACAAAGTGACTAGGAGAAGAAAAGGAGGCCAGAAAGCGCTGTGGAGATGAGGTTGCAAAGGCAATTAAGAGCTGCCCAAACAGCCTGTTAAAGAATTTTAGTTTCTCTTAAAAAAAGTGAAGGGTTTCAGACATGAAGATTATGTGATCAGATCTGCATTTTGAAAAATCACTGTCTGGTGTGCAAAACTATAGGAGCCAACAGTAAATGCAGGTAGACCCTAATTGTGTCCTCCGTGTGTAAGTCGCTTTAGTCCTGCCTGCCCTTTGTGACGCTATGGACTGTAGCCCGCCAGGCTCCTCTGTCCATGGGATTCTCTGGGCAAGAATACTGGAGTGGGTTGCCATTTCCTACTCCAGGGATCTCCCCGATCCAGGGATCAAACCTGCATCTCTTATGTATCCTGCAGTGGCAGGCAGGTTCTTTACTGCTAGGGCCACCTGCTGCTGCTGCTAAGTCGCTTCAGTCATGTCCAACTCTGTGCGACCCCATAGACGGCAGCCCACCAGGCTCTCCCGTCCCTGGGATTCTCCAGGCAAGAATACTGGAGTGGGTTGCCATTTCCTTCTCCAATGCATCAAAGTGAAAAGTTCCTTCCCACATTTGCAGGAAAATTATGTCTGCTCCTCTTTCTAAAGAGCTAAGACAGAAGTACAACGTTCGATCCATGCCCATCTGAAAGGATGATGGAGTTCAGGTTGTACGAGGGCACTACAAAGGGCAGCAAGCTGGCAAAGCGGTCCAGGTTTACGGGGAGAAATACAGCATCTACACTGAACGAGTGCAGGGAGAGAAGGCTGATGGCACAACTGCCCATGTGGGCATTCGCCCCAGCAAGGTGGTCATCACCAGACTAAAACTGGACAAAGACCGCAAAAAGATCCTCCGACGTAAAGCCAAATCTCGCCAAGTAGGAAAGGAAAAGGGCAAACAAAAGGAAGAAACAATTGAGAAGATGCAGGAATAAAGTCATCTTGTCTACAGCTTTCGTTAAAAACTGTTAAAATGAAGGGGGGAAAAAAAAAAGACTCCAGGAAAGACTGATATGAGACAGGAAGTCGTCAAATTTGAACTCCTATAGAAAGGATGAATGATGGAAACTAGTCACTTGAGTAAGAGGACCTATTTTCCTTGGGAGATAAGTCATGACTTTCAAAAAAAAAAAAAAAGTCATGACTTTCAAACATGTGAATATGAGTAGTTATTCCTAATTATGGGATTGGTTTTTATAGAAACATTTCAGTGTACATTGTGCTTGTATTTTATTGGGTGTTTTATTTTACTGGGTGTTTTTGGATATCAGAGAGAAGGCAATAGGTCTCTGCATGTGTGTAAAATGATCTGAACAGAATTAAGGTCCTTACTTTCCTTTGGGTTCTTTCCTTTAAACACTCGCTAAAAATTGTCTTTTATGACTACAGTTTAATAGCGTCTCAAGAATTCTACTTATACACTCAGCTGATAGATTATTTTAAAACTTTTAAAAAGATAGTATTTAAATGGAAAAAAAGAAAAAGAAACCAAACAAACAAAAAAATAACCTGTAAAGTCCAAAAGGAAGCTTCAACCACCTTACTTTCAATCTGTTACCAGAACGTGAAGGGCGTTTTATTGTGGCAAGCTGGTTTGGTGCATTAACCTTAAACCGTATTAATATTACAGAATGAAGAGGCTTGCGAATGCGATTTAGGAAACTTCTTACTCACAGAATCCAATTCGTAAATTTTTTGACTCCAGACTTTGATCTATAAAAATACTAGTTTGCAACTTAAAACTGTGTCACTACTGACTTGGTGCTTTTATGTCGCTTGAGACTGGAGCCTCAGGAAGACTGTTACGGGAGCTGACTTGACAACATTGGTTCCCTTAATTACTGACCACAGGTATGTACTCTGTCGGATCCCAAGTTTATGCAAGCTTCATGGGTCTCAACCTTCTTCCATCCTTTCTCTCCCACAAAGAAAAACAGGAGCGCAGGAGCCTCGGAGAGGGTATTTAACAAAACACCTGCCCCACCCACCTCACAAACAATAACCTTCCATACCAAAACTAAAGCTCCTGTCAGAAAAGGACGCTGGGCCGGAGGGCCTCAGATGGTAACCCAGGTTATCAGAGGCGCACCTCAGCACCGAGGGGAGCTCTTCTCACCCAGTCCCGGAGGAGTGTCCTATTTCCCAAAAGGGAACCAAAGATCTCCACCGCGGAAACCCGAGCTCCTGAGCCCGAGCAGGGGGCTCTCCCTCCAGCAGATGGCTCCAGCCCCGGGTCTCCAGTCGCTTCCAGGCCTCTTCGGGAGACTAGGGCCTCCCTGATCCGCTCCCCGCAGCTTGCCGCTCCCCCAGCCCGGCTTCGCGCCAGGGCGCCTACCGCCCAGCCGGCCCCGCCTGCAGCCAGCAGGCCCGTCACCAGGCAACAGTCGCCAGCCCCGAGAACCTTGGGAGGCCTACCCCGCGCGCGGGTCCTTCCCCATTCCTTTTCTCTGCCTGGGGAGCCCAGGCGGGTGGGCAACCGGTGAAGGAGGTCGTTCGGTGCCCATGGGCGGTCACTCACCTCTTCCCCTTCTCCCTCAGGAGGGGCGGCGCTGGGTCTCTTTCCCCCCCGCCGCCCCCCAAACGCCTCTCGGCTGTTCCTGCTCAGCCTCGGCGCCTGGCCGCTGCCGCCCGCTTACTCCATAGCCTCCTACACTCTCGCGGCCTCAAATGCTGGAACTCGAGGAGGGGAAAGGGGAGGGAAGGGGCGAGATTGGGGAGGAAGAGTAAAGGAGGGGGAAGAAGACCGAAAGACCAGTCGGTCCGGCATGACGTCACTTCCGGCTTGTTCGGAAGGGGCGGGACCGGGACTTCTTTGGCCCCCGCCCCAAGAGAGCCAAGTGGGGGCGGGGTCACGGGCCGGAGGAGGAGCCCGGTGGACGAGTTTCTGGCAGTTCATTTGACTCCGCGGTTCTGTATCCTTGCCATGATGGCCAGAACCAGCTTCCCGGCCCTGGGCGGAACGGATCGAGCTTCGTGAGCCTAGAGGCTCCAGGAAAAGGAGGACAGGTAGCCCTTTAGAGCCTAGCCAAGTGTGCCCTGAAGAGGGGGATGGCTGAGGAGAGCGAAGGGTCGGACTTTGAGCTCAGGCCCCTGGGGCCCGCCCCTTCCCCTGGACCCGCCCCTTTCCCCGCCCACCTGCCCTCTCAGTCCGACTGAGGACCGCCTCTCGGTCTTTTCAGAAGCTACTCTTCTTGAGGAATCCTGGAAAGCAGTGCTTCTCAGACTTTAATATGAATACATCATTTGGGGATGTTGTTAAAATGCAGCTTGGACTCAAGAGTACGGTCTGATGGTCTGTATTTCTAAGAAGTTCATAAGATGATGCCAATGCTGCAAGTCCTTGAGCTCGAGGACTATTTCTTTAACCTGGCCTACTTGTTTAACGACGCTTAGCAAGGCAGATGGTCCAGGGAAAATAACCCTGTTATTGGGTTATAGACTCCTAGGCTTATCGACCCCACCCCACCCTAACCTCGACCCTACTTGCCCATCACTGTCCAACTCCTCAAACCTTCCCCTTTTCCTCTCTGCCCTCCACCCTATGCCCCTGTCTACGCACTGTCCACAATATTTCGCGCTGTGATAGTTCAAGGATAGACAGCTTCTGCTACAGAGGGCATTTAAAGGTGACTGTTTCTTTGCTCTAAACATCACACCGTTATGTAAAATTGGCATCCAGTTTCCTATTATTAACTTGCTCCTTGGAAGGAAAGTTATGACCAACCTAGACAGCATATTAAAAAGCAGAGACATTACTTTGCCAACAAAGGTCCGTCTAGTCAAAGCTATGGTTTTTCCAGTAGTCGTGTATGGATGTGAAAGTTGGACTATAAAGAAAGCTGAGTGCAAAGAATTGATGCTTTTAAACTGTGGTGTTGGAGAAGATTCTTGAGAGCCGCTTGGCCTGCAAGGAGATCCAACCAGTCCATCCTAAAGGAGATCAGTCCTGAGTGTTCGTTGGAAGGACTGATGTTGAAGCTGAAACTCCAGTACTTTGGTCACCTGATGTGAAGAGCTGACTCATTTGAAAAGACCCTGATGCTGGGGAAAATTGAAGGCAGGAGGAGAAGGGGATGACAGAGGATGAGATGGTTGGATGGCATCACCGACTCAATGGACATGAGTTTGAGTAAACTCCAGGAGTTGGTGATGAACAGGGAGGCCTGGCGTTCTGCGGTCCATGGAGTCACAAAGAGTCAGACACGACTGAGCGACTGAACTGAACTGAATTGAACTTCCAGTTATTGATAGGCAAAGGAAGAAAGACCTTAAATTCTCGGATTCTAACAACAAAAATCTAGAAACAACATTCTAGAAGTTTCAATTTATTCCCTTATCTTGCTAAAAAAATTTTATTAAAAATTCACTGAGGTAGGAGGGAATGAAGTGTGACTGCTAACTGTATGGAGTCTTCTTTTTGAAGTGATGAAATGGTCTGGAGTTATATGAAAGAGATAGCTGCACAGAGTTGTGAATGAAAAGTCATTGAACTGTACACTTTAAAAGAGTGAATTCTGTGAAATGTAAATTATATCTCAATTTTTAAATTTTATTGTCTCCAATTAATTGAAGAAGTTTATATATGTACATTATAAAAATCAGAAATATGTATGCTGAAAAGTGAACATGATTTCATTATGTCTATTTCCCAAAGGTTAATTTGAATTTTATCCTTCCAATTCTTTCTGTTTTCGTATATTTGTGTATACGTTGGGAATTTATTTTTGCATAACTAGGGTAGTATACAAATTGTTTGCCCAACTCTGTTTTTACTACTTAATGAAATCCTTCATGCTATAAATGTCATTCTTCCTAATGGATTTTTAATATTCTGTAATAAAGTTATGCTATCATCTATTTAACTAGTCCCCATGTGCTGGACATTTTATTGTCTTCAGGTTTTCATTATTCCTAACTAAGTTTTCTTTTTCAACAAGAACAACTGACAGATAAATCTTTTTTTTTTTCAGCTTCTTGCCTTAGATTTCTTTCATGCAAAGGTTGTCATTGTTCAAAAAGTCAAAAAGAAGAAATGAAAACAGAGTCTGATGAAGTCACAGATCTGTAGTAAACAAGATTTCAGTAAGTGAGTGCATTCCTTTGGAATGTATCCTAAATTAATATCCTTCAAGACTACACATTCACATAATAGTATATGTTTTATCAATAAAGCAAATTCCTAGGTTTACTCTGATTTTATTGGCAGATGAACATGTGCAACCTTAGTAAACCTATTATAGTTTCCATAAGATGTGAGAAGAAACTTAAGAAAGGCATTGGCAGCAGATATGACATAAAAAAGCATAAGGTTGCAAAAAAAAAAACATTTTTGTGTAATCTAAACTTGCTAGAAACATGTTAAAAATTTTTTTCATGATGCTCTGGTCCTTTTCAAGCCACTCAGCTATGGGATGGTATTATTTACTCCCTTCAGACTCAAGTGGAAATGAAAAGAAGGAGGCATCGTTTATGAACATAGAAGACTTTTACTGGTTCTTCTGTTGTCGATGCAGTATTAAGTCATCTTATGCAAAATATGTGCCTAAGTAGTGATGACATCTCTCATCTTAAAGGAGCTTGTCTTTGGCAAGTTCTAATGAACCATAAAGTATTTGAACCAGTAGGAATGAAGCTATTCAAAAATTAAAAGGAATTGGGATTTGAAGTTTCAAACAATAGCCTCTACAGGTTTCTAGGCAATAAATCATCTTACATTTTTTGCAAAAGAAAAAAATTCTGAGACTGGGTTAACTGATGAAATAAAAGCAAAGGAACATTTAAGGTTAGTGTTAACCAAGATATTGTAGTATTTTGTGTTTAGATGCTGGCAGAACAGTCTTCACTGAGCGAACCTTAAATATTCAACTTTCAAGTTTTTTCAGAAATCAGTAGAAGAAATAGCCATATGTAAATTAATCTATTTCTGCATTTGCTCTAAAATGGTTATGAGGAAATGATCACATAAATACTTCAGAATTTATACCAGGAAAAACTTTATCTCCTCTGATGAATTGTGTGCTTCCTAGTTTTTGAAAAGTGACTTAACCAAAGTAGATAAAGTCACAGTTATGGAAACTAGAGCAAAAGTTTTCTACTCTGTTATAGAAACCATGATAACCTTAGAATTAACATATGTATTTTTCTGTTTATTTACAATCCTAACATCCTCTTTTGGTGATATTCTATTATCTAATAAATTTATTACTTGTATCTTTTATGGTAAGCTGCCTGACATGTTTTTGAAAATAGGAAATGGATAAGTAAGTTTTAATAAATTTAAATGCATATTTGAAATATTGGTCCTATATATAATAGAGAAATTCGCATATTGTTTCTTTCAACTGACCAGAAGATGAAATGATTTCAAATCCTCTAGCCCAAGAGATTGGTGAGGAAAGAATTGAGGAACTTATTGACACAACGAGTGGGTCTCTGGCTTTACCTCTAAGCATCACAGTTGACAAACCTGTTCTCCCACTTTCAAAAGGTAATTTCAGTTTCCATTAGTTCTTTTGAGAACTTTTAAGGAAGAACTGACTTTTTAAAATAGACCTTAGTTTTTTAGAACAGTGTTAGGTTCACAGAAAAATTGAACAAAAAGTGCAGGGAATTCCCATATATACACAGCCTCCCCCATGATCAAAACCCTACACCAGAGTGGTTATTTGCTGTAATCCATGCACCTACACTGATACATCATTATCACTCAAAGCCCATGATTTACAGTAGTGTGCATTCTTGATGGTGTATATTATGTGGGTTTTGACAGATGTCTGATGACTGTCCCGCCGTTATAGTATCATACAGAATAGTTCCACAGCTCTGAAAATGCCCTGTATGTCCAGTTTCGCAGTCGTGTCCAACTCTTTGCGACACTGTAGACCGTAGCCCCACCAAGCTCTTCTGTCCATGGGATTCTCCAGGCAAGAACACTGCAGTAGGTTGCCATCATCTCATTTAGGGAACCTTCCCAACCCAGTGATTGAACCCGCGTCTTCTGCACTGCAGGTGGATTTTTTTTATTAGCCATTGAGGAATTTGTCTTTCCTTCCCCAATACTTCATCTACTTGTGGTTTTGTCCTTATAATGCCACTTAACAGTGGAAAGAAGAGCCCCATGCTCAGGGCAGTTAGGAGGGATGCAATCACAATTCATTAATGGTTACATACTATACTGCCTGTGGTCAAACCATGACAGAAGCAAAACAAGCATGATTTGCACACTGGAGGAGCAAAAGTTATCAACAATAACTAGGATAAGTGTGAGAAGAGAAATGCATGGTGCCCAAAGAAAGGGTGCAAATGAGAAGAGAAGAGGAACTAGAAGAAAACTCTGAGAAAGATTAATATTTAGAGGACGGGCTGAAAAAGAAGAGCCAGCAAAAATTTGATTTTTACCTATTATGAGTGAAAAAGAAAAACTTGTCTCATCATTTTCCCATGAGGATATAGGATACCTTACCTGTCTCTGGAGAAACCTGTATGCAGGTCAAGAAGCATTAATACCAGTAACCTCAGATATGCACATGACACCACCCTAATGGCAGAAAGTGAAGAGGAGCTAAAGAGCCTCTTGATGAAGGTGAAAGAGGAGTGAAAACGCTGGCTTAAAACTCGACATTCAAAAACCAAAGATCATGGCATCAGGTCCCATCACTTCATGGCAAATAGATGGGGGAAAAGTGGAAATTGACAGATTTCATTTTCTTGGGCTCCAAAATCACGGTGGATGGTAACTCAAGCCATGAAATGAAAGAACACTTGCTTTTTGGAAGGAAATCTATGACAAACCTAAATAACGTATTGAAAAACAGAGACATCACCTGGCTGACAAAGGTCTGTACAGTCAAAGCTTTGGTTTTCATGTATGGATGTTAAGAGTTGGACTGTAAGAAGGCTGAGTGCTGAAGCCTTGATGCTTTCAAGTTGTGGTGCTGGAGAACTCTCAAGAGTCCACTGGACAGCACGGAGATCAAACCAGTCAATCCTAAAGTACATCAACCTTGAATATTCTTTGGAATTACTGATGCTGAAGCTGAAGCTTCAATCCTTTGGCCACCTGATACAGAGTTGACACATTTGAAAGACCCTGATGCTGGGAAAGATTGAAGGCAGCTGAAGAAGGTGATGACAGAGGATGCGATAGTTAGATAGCCTCACCAATTCAGTGGACATGAGTTTGAGCAAACTCCAGGAGATAGTGAAGAACAGGGAAGCCTGACGAGCTGCAGTCCATGGGGTCAGAAAGAATCAGACACAGCTTAGTGACTAAACAAAAACAAAAAAGAAATTCCTAACTAAAGATGGATATAATTTATCAGTGAAGATGCTTATAAAAGTAATTTTCATTTGTTGGGCCTTTCTCTGGGCCAAGTAACTTGTTAATGCATTTTATATTTGTTATCTATAATTTAATAATAGGCCTGAAATGTGAGGATAGAACTTTCATTTTATAGTTGGGGAAACAGACTCAAAAGGATAAATAAAAAAGACACGGTAAGGGAAAGACATTTTTATTTTTATCTTTGTTATACATTTACATAATATAAAACATTAAAGTAGTCCTACAGATTTTCTCACCAAAAAAATAATTTCCTACCCTTCTCCTCTCATGCATTTGCCCCTCTCCAAAGACAACCATTTACAATTCTCTACATTGTAACTCATGTATGTTAGAAATATCTCATGTCTCTAAATGTCATGCTTCTACTGCTGCTTCATGCTTTTTCAGTTTTACAGACATTAATTTTCTAAAAAGGAAAATAGGGTTTATGCCTCTCCTTTTTCTTGCATTTGTCTCCCAAATACTTTAAATGATTCACATGCATTTATATACTATTCTATGAATAACATATTTAACAAAAAATGTTAGGTGAAAATAGAAATATCTTTGGTTTTAACACTTTTGTGTTTAGCCAGATATTTTAAACATTGTTGCAAAACAATAATTATTAAGTTTTGCATTTTAAAAAAGGAGATTTTCTTGGCTGTGCTGTGTATCTTCTGGGATCTTAATTCCCCTACAAGGGATTGAACCTGGGTCATGGCTTACCTGGTAACTCAGCTGGTAAAGAATCCACCTGCAGTGTGGGAGACCTGGGTTCAATCCCTGGGTTGGGAAGATTTCCTGGAGAAGGGAACGGCTACCTACTCCAGTATTTTGGCCTGGAGAATTCCATGGACTATCCATGCAAAAAGTCGGACACAACTGAGCGACTTTCACTTTCACGGCAGTAAAAGTTCTGAGTTCTGACCACTGAACTGCCAGGGAATCCCCTAAAAAAGGAGACTTCATGTTAAAACAAAAATCAGCCAAGTCTGGGAACCTCTACTTTACTTTTGTTTAGACTATTTATTTTACAGACAAGGAAACTGAGACTCAGAAAATTTAGATAACTTGCGAATTTTCCGCAGTTAACGAATGGCATCAAGACTCAGACCCGGGGACTTCCCTGGTGGTTCAGTGGTTGAGGGGTGGGGGTTCAATCCCTTGTCGGGGAACTAGGATCCCACATGCCTTGGAGGAACTAAGCCTGTGGGCTGCATGCTGCGCCAGAAGATCTGGTGTGCTGTAACTAAGACTCGACACAGTGAAATAAATAAGTTTTTAAAAAGGACTCACACCTAGATTTCCATACTTTTACCCAGTGTCTTATCATTGTTGCTGCAACAAAGTATTGTAAACTATTAAATGGGTACAGTTGAAATATGTGTAGTTGGTGTGTTTGCTCTTTGTACCAACTGAACGTGTCAGCCTTCAAAATAGAGAAACAACCTATTTTAGTTGTTCTTTCTAATAAAACACAGTTTTGAGAGAGGTACTCTTTCATAAGTTACTAATAACAAGTCTCTTTGTCTTTGAAAGTCTTAAATCTACTAAATCCACTAAAGTAGGTTTTTTATTGTTTTTTTTTGTTTGTTTTGTAAAAGAGTTTGCAAGAGAACTAACTTTAAAATTGACTGTTCTTATATCTAATGAGTGAAAAAAATTCACTTTTAAAAATTTTTCGTACCAAAATTTTTGGAAAAATGCATTTGGAAGTTTCTCTAAATTCTAATAAATCAGGCACGGTTGGAGATTTTGTTATTATCCACTGAAATCTGACTATTCTGTGATCCTCAAGCACAAAAACACCCCCTCAGATGTATTAACACATTAAAACTGTCTGGTTTTATAAAATTAAATAATTAACTGGCCCACAAGAAAATCTAAGCTACTTTCTATTTGGAAAAATATGGTTGGTTAAAGGTATTCAGTTGGCAATATTCCTGTATAAATGTCAGCCAAGAAATAAAAGTATCGAGTTCTTCTTTTCTTTGTTTTTGAAAAAGGTCATTCCTTAATTCCCCAAAAAACTGAGAAACCTACTTCATTTGAATTGAGTCGAAAATTCTGCTAGCAGTGATAAAGCCAGGACTGCAGGCTTCTTGCAAATTCGCATTTGTGTGACTAATAGAGTCAAGGTGAATCTTTGCTGAGATTTGTTTATTTTTTACAGGTGAGGTGTGTTTCTTTGCTGAGATTTGTTTATTTTTTACAGGTGTTTCTGATAACACCTGTAAAATGTATTAGAAATATAAAAAAATATATAATGACTAACATTTTGAAGCTAATACACTGATATTTTTGAAATATGTTTTAGAAATGTTAGGGATTCTAAAGATGTAGGTACTTTCCCTCTCCCTTGAGGGGAATGTCCAGATCCGCTAGAGCAATTCCACTATTCATCAGCTTTACTTGACTTCCAGAAGAATACATTGTACAAAGGTTTCCTCAGCCAACGCAAAGTGTGATTCCTACTGAACACACTGTACTTCTCCCACCAAAACATTTATACACTGAGTGAAACTGCCTGTTGACTTGTCTTTATTTCCTACTGGAGTGGGAGGTGCTTAGGGAAAGACCTCATCTTTGGTCACCGTTGTAGCCCCCGTTGAATGGCCCAGAGCTTAGCTGTTGGTATGTAACATTTAGTGACTGAATGGTTCATATACTGCCTCCTCATTTTACAAAAATTTTCTTTTTATTTACACACGTACACTCATCTATACATATATGTGTATATATGTGTGTTTAGGCCATCCTAAACGCTGGATGGACTGTATGCTCTTCAAATGCAAAGTATGTCCCCTTGTATCCCCTTCACCCAGCACAGAGATGATTGGATAAGAAATGCTCCATTAAGAATACGGTGGTACCAGCCCAGGTTGGGTACATGAGACAAGTGCTCGGGCCTGGTGCACTGGGAAGACCCAGAGGGATCGGGTGGAGAGGGAGGTGGGAGGGGGGACCGGGATGGGGAATACATGTAAATCCATGGCTAATTCATTTCAATGTATGACAAAAACCACTGCAATGTTGTAAAGTAATTAGCCTCCAACTAATAAAAATAAATGGAAAAAAAGAAAAAGAATACGGTGGTGACTGTATGTGTTGCCACAATGTCCTTCTTGAGTCTTAATTTCCTCATATGGCACTAACTATTCTGTTTATCAGCTCTGCACTTGGCTAGTATATCTAGACATGCACATTTCTCTGCTCCCTCTCCTTCGGGTCTTGACTCAAATATCATCTTCCTAATAATAATTCCCACACATCTTATTTAAAATCACAACACTAATTCCATAGTGTAGTCTGATCTCCTTTTTTCCTTCATTTCTCTCCAGCGAACTAACTACAAACTGACACAGAGATACTTCACTTTTTGTTATTTATTGTCTGCCTCCCTCTTCCCCGTAGACTATAAGCTCCATTAAGGCAAGAATTTTGCCTGTTTTGGTTACCACTATGTCCCCGGAACCTAGAACAGTGTCTAATACAAAATAGGTCTCAAAATGTTTGTTGAGTAAATGAATATTCTGTCTTGATGCTATTGCCAAATAGTCTTTTTTCTACTTTGGGATTTATTTGTAAGAATCTATTCACGCTTCTTGGTGACTTGATAAAATTTGCCTTCATCCATTTCATGTGTGGCTATCCTTTTCTCCTCACCTATGGATGGCTGCTGAAAGGTCATTATATATATCTTTTTCTAGCACTTAATTCAGTGCTATGCCCAAAGGTTGGTATTAACAAATATGGACTGATTGATTAGAGGCTATTTTTTCCCTGAGAAACCTGTATGCAGGACAAGAAGCAGCAGTTAGAACTAGACACGGAACATCAGACTGGTTCAAAATTGGGAAAGGAGTATGTCAAGGCTGTATATTGTCACCCTGCTTACTTAACTTACATGCAGAGTACATCATGTGAAATGCTAGGCTGAATGAATCATAAGCTGGACTCAAGATTGCCAGAAGAAATATCAACAACCTGAGATATGCAGATGATACCACTTTAATGGCAAAAAGTGAAGAGGAACTAAAGAACCTCTTGATGAAGAGGAAAGAGGAGAGTGAAAAAGCTGGCTTGAAACTCAACGTTCAAAAAAACTAAGATCACAGCATCTGGTCCTATCACTTCATGGTAAGTAGATGGGGAAATTGTGGAAACAGTGTCAGTTTTCATTCTTTTGGGCTCCAAAATCAACGTGGACAGTGACTATAGCCATGAAATTAAAAGATGCTTGCTCCTTGGAAGAATAGCTATGACAAACCCAGACAGTGTATTAAAAAGCAGAGACATCATTTTGCTGACAAAGGTCCGTCTAGTCAAAACTATGGTTTTTCCAGTAGTCATGTATGGATGTGAGAGTTGCATCATAAAGAAGGCTGAGCACTGACAAATTGATACTTTCAAACTGTGGTGCTGGAGAAGACTCTTGAGAGTCTTGAGAGCAAGGAGATCAAACCAGTCCATTCTAAAGGAAATCAAACCTTGAGTATTCACTGGAAGGACAGTTGCTGAAGCTGAAGTGCCAATACTTTGGCCACCTGATGCGAAAAGGTGACTCACTGGAAAAGACCCTGATACTGGGAAAGATTGAAGGCAAGAGGAGAAGGTGGCAACAGAAGATGAGATGGTTGAATGGCATCACTGATTCAGTGGACATGAGCTTGAGCAAACTCTGGGAGATAGTGAAGGACAGGGAAGCCTGGCGTGCTATAGTTCATGGGGTCGCAAAGTGTCAGACACGACTTACAGACTAAATAATAACAAATGATCTTAGGTCTTTACTAAAAGATTGTTGATTTATTTTTGATCAGTAACTCAGCAGTAGCAAACTCAGATACCTTTAGGAGCCAGACAAATCAGAGAGCGTGTGAGTATTTCATGTTCAAACATGTAGGGAAAATATATACTGTCATTTTGCTTGAAATGCAAGGCCCTTGTTGTTTAGTCTCTAAGTTGTGTCTGATTCTTTTGCAACTCCGCCAGGCTCCTCTGTCCATGGGATTTGCCAAGCAATGGCCCCATTGGCTGTTTTTCCTTTTCCTGCTTAAGACAGAGATATAACTCTAGGGAAATTAATTTCTACTGTAGCAAAACCAATAGCATGATATCATGAAAATGGTAGCTGACAGTCAACTTCACTGTTTGGGGTACAGTAGGAAGTGGTGGGGTTTGTGGTGAGCTGGAAATGACATGTCAGTGCAAAGAGGGTAGCCACTAACTTATATCAGCTAACTTTGGTCAGGCATTAATTCAAGCCCTGTGTTATGCGATCTTATGATACTTTTAAAGAGAAGCTAGAAACCGAGAATTTTATATGAAATTTCCCATTTTTAAACAAGTTAATTCTATTCAAAATACTGTATTCAAAATAACCAGAGAAATCTTGGCCATGATCCAGATTTAATGCATAGGCTATTGGCAGTACCCCTTTATAGATAACAGCCTTGTCATGGCGAAGGGGCTTACATAATTCAATGAAGCTATGAGCCATGCCATGCAGAGTTATTCAGGATGGACAGGTCATAGTGAAGAGTTCTGACAAAATACGGTCCAGTGGAGGAGGAAAAGGCAAACCACCCCAGTATTCTTGCCACAAGAACCCCATGAACAGTATGAAAAGGTAAAAAGATATGGCACTGGAAGATGAATCTCCCAGGTTGGGAGATGTCCAATATGTTACTGGGGAGAACAGAGGGCAACCATGGGGTCACAAAGAGTCAGACACAAGTTAGTGACTGAACAACGATGATTAGCAGTAAAGCTCTGCAAGAGATTCACTGTAGCTTTAGCTTCTGTAATTTTCTTTCGTTTAAAGAAAAACATGAATGATGATCCAATGTTTAGAATAAAAAAAAAACTTTATTAACTCTTAACATAAATGACCAGAAACCCAAGTTAAAATTAACCTAATACTATATTTGAATTTAAAAACAATTTAACTACAACTATCCCTGCTTTGAATAAAATTGTAAATAATTAGTAATCTCATTCTCTCAGATGTGCAAAATAATTTATAAGCAGGACCAATAGCTTTTTATATCTGAAATTAACCTATTGATAATACCCCTTAAAAGCTAGATAATATCACTTTATAATTAACATAACCAGAAAATAAAAGTAATATGACTCATAACCCTGATGTCTATTTAAAGGTCAATCTTGAAAAGAAAAACTGTAATTTAACCAATTTAATTATCCAGCATTAAATTCATCCATTATATTATGTTAATACTTTTGTATTGTATTATAGAATTTTATAATACTGGTTGAATGTGTGTATCTTATTTATTAGTCCGATAGTTGTATTATTTTTCTTTCTAAGCTGTGGAAGATGTTGGAAACAACAAATATTGTTATGTATTCTTCAGTTGATTCACCTTCCATTCTTGGAAAGTATTTTGGAACCTCTAGTTAAAACACAAATTCTTCAATTAGAGAGGAAGATCTTGTTATCGCTAACACTTGCCTAGACAGAGAGGTGATTCCAAACTTACGTCTACCTGAGTCAGTTCAGTTCAGTCACTCAGTCATGTCTGACTCTTTGCGACCCCATGAACTGCAGCACGCCAGGCCTCCCTGTCCATCACCAACTCCCGGAGTCCACACAAACCCATGTCCATCGAATTGGTGATGCCATCCAACCATCTCATCCTCTGTCGTCCCCTTTTCCTCCTGCCCTCAATCCCTCCCAGCATCAGGGT